TTATATTACTGTATCTAGCTACATGTATTCTTAACTACTCTTGTGGGGGATCTGTAGGTCCACATAACATAGGCTAATAGGCCATAGTCCTATCGCAAATGACCAGGGCTAGTATAGTACACTAATATGTGGAATAGAGAGTGAATGGAGGCTGGGCCTAGGTCTCAGTCATCCTCCTCAGATGAAGGGGATCTGTCGTATGATATCAACACACACACACACACACACACACATCACCACCACCTCCCCACCTCCGTAGAGCTTGGTTTCCATGGCAACAAGGGATCCTGGTGTGTGTCTTCTGTATAATTACTTAGGCTAATGTGGCTCGCGGGGGTATAGAAGGGTATGGGGGTGGAGGTTTAAATAATGCTGACTCATTTTAAAGGGACCACTGTATCGCACACAAGATGAAAGATTCCCTTATTTCAAGTCACCCTACATCAGCTCATCTGAAATACAAAAAAAAAAGTGTTAGTCATGCATGCCTTTATAGAATGTCCATGTATGACCATTTACTACTATGTTAAGTCATGTAAGACCATGTACTACTATGTTAAGTCATGTAAGACCATGTACTACTATGTTAAGTAATGTATGACCATGTACTACTATGTTAAGTCATGTAAGACCATGTACTACTATGTTAAGTCATGTAAGACCATTTACTACTATGTTAAGTCATGTAAGACCATTTACTACTATGTTAAGTCATGTAAAACCATGTACCACTATGTTAAGTCATGTAAGACCATGTACTACTATGTTAAGTCATGTAAGACCATGTACTACTATGTTAAGTCATGTAAGACCATTTACTACTATGTTAAGTCATGTAAAACCATGTACTACTATGTTAAGTCATGTAAGACCATGCACTACAATGTTAAGTCATGTAAGACCATGTACTACTATGTTAAGTCATGTAAGACCATGTACTACTATGTTAAGTCATGTAAGACCATTTACTACTATGTTAAGTCATGTAAGACCATTTACTACTATGTTAAGTCATGTAAAACCATGTACCACTATGTTAAGTCATGTAAGACCATGTACTACTATGTTAAGTCATGTAAGACCATGTACTACTATGTTAAGTCATGTAAGACCCATTACTACTATGTAAGTCATGTAAAACCATGTACTACTATGTTAAGTCATGTAAGACCATGCACTACAATGTTAAGTCATGTAAGAATGTACTACTATGTTATGGCATGAAAACCCATGAATCTTACTATGTTAATATGTTATAGAAGACCATGACTACTTGTTAAGTCATGTAAACATGAAGTTTAAAACCAGTATTTACTGTGTTAAGTCATGTAAGACCATGTACTACTATGTTAAGTCATGTAAGACCATGTCAAACTATGTTAAGTCATGTAAGACCATGTACTACTATGTTAAGTCATGTAAAAACCATGTACTACTATGTTAAGTCATGTACGACCATGCACTACAATGTTAAGTCATGTAAGATCATATACTACTGTGTTAAGTCATGTAAGACCATGTACTACTATGTTAAGTCATGTAAGACCATGTACTACTATGTTAAGTCATGTAAGACCATGTACTACTATGTTAAGTCATGTAAGATTATGTACTAATAGGGTTAAGTCATGTAAGACCATGTACTACTATGTTAAGTCATGTAAGATTATGTACTACTATGTTAAGTCATGTAAGACCATGTACTACTATGTTAAGTCATGTAAGACCATGTACTACTATGTTAAGTCATTTAAGACCATGTACTACTGTGTAAAGTCATGTGTTACAAGTGATGAGAGATAGGGTCAGCTCCCAAATGGCACCCTATTGCCTATATAGGGCATGGCTTTAGAGCCCTGGTCACTATAGGGAATAGGCTGACATTTAGGATGCAACCACAGCTTCTTGAACTGCACTCTTTATGCACCAGTCTTACACAAACAGCAATCTGTACTGTATCTGTACCTGTTCCCGTACCAGTACTGTATATGTATCTGTATCTGTACTGTATCTGTACTGTATCAGTATCTGTATCTGTACTGTATTTGTATTTGTATCTGTACTGTATCTGTACTGTATCAGTATATGTATCTGTACTGTATTTGTATCTGTATCAATATCTGTATCTGTATCTGTATCTGTATCTGTATCTGTATCTGTATCTGTACTGTATCTGTACTGTATCAGTATCTGTATCTGTACTGTATTTGTATCTGTACTGTATCAATATCTGTATCTGTATCTGTACTGTATCTGTACTGTATCTCTATCTGTATCTTTACTGTATCTGTATCTGTATCTGTATCTGTACTGTATCTGTATCTGTATCTGTACTTTATCTGTACTGTATCTGTACTGTACCTGTAACTTCATCTGCATATGTACTGTATCTGTATCTGTATCTGTACAGTATTTGTATATGTACTGTGTCTGTATCTGCACTGTATCTGTATTTGTACTGTATCTGTATCTGTATCTGTATCTGTATCTGTATCTGTATCTGTATCTGTATCTGAATCTGTATCTGTACCTGTATCTCTACTGCATCTGTATCTGTACTGTATCTGTACTGTATCTGTTTCTGTATCTGTTTCTGTATCTGTATCTGTACTGTATCTGTATCTGTATCTGTATCTGTATCTGTATCTGAATCTGTATCTGTACTTTATCTGTACCTGTATATGTACTGTATCTGTATCTGTATCTGTATCTGTATATGTACTGTATCTGTACTGTATCTGTATCTGTACTGTATCTGTATCTGTACTGTATTTGTATGTGTACTGTATCTGTATATGTACTGTATATGTACTGTATCTGTACTGTATCTGTATCTGTATCTGTATCTGTATTTGTATTTGTATCTGAATCTGTATCTGTATCTGTATCTGTATCTGTATATGTATATGTATCTGTATCTGTATCTGTATCTGAATCTGAATCAGAATCTGAATCAGAATCTGTACCTGTACCTGTACCTGTACCTGTACCTGTACCTGTACCTGTACCTGTACCTGTACCTGTATCTGTACTGTATCTGTTTCTGTATCTGTACTGTATCTGTATCTGTACTCTATCTGTATCTGTATCTGTATCTGTATCTGTATCTGTATCTGTATCTGTATCTGTATCTGTATCTGTATCTGTATCTATATCTGTATCTGTATCTGTATCTGAATCTGTATCTGTATCTGTATCTGTATCTGTATCTGTATCTGTATCTGTAACTGAATCTGTATCTGTATCTGTACTCTATCTGTATCTGTATCTGTATCTGTATCTGTATCTGTATCTGTATCTGTAACTGAATCTGAATCTGAATCTGTATCTGTACTGTATATGTACCTGTGTCTGTACTGTATCTGTATCTGTATCTGTATCTGTATCTGTATCTGTATCTGTATCTGTATCTGTATCTGTACCTGTACCTGTACCTGTATCTGTATCTGTACCTGTACCTGTACCTGTACCTGTATCTGTTTCTGTTTCTGTTTCTGTTTCTGTTTCTGTTTCTGTTTCTGTATCTGTACTGTATCTGTACTGTATCTGTATCTGTATCTGTATCTGTATCTGTACCTGTACCTGTTTCTGTATCTGTTTCTGTTTCTGTTTCTGTTTCTGTATCTGTACTGTATCTATATCTGTATCTGTATCTGTATCTGTATCTGTATCTGTATCTGTATCTGAATCTGTATCTGTATCTGTATCTGTATCTGTATCTGTATCTGTACATGTACATGTACATGTACATGTACATGTACATGTACTGTATCTGTATCTGTATCTGTATCTGTATCTGTATCTGTATCTGTATCTGTATCTGCATCTGCATCTGTACTGTATCTGTATCTGTATCTGTATCTGTATCTGTATTGTATCTGTACCTGTATCTGCATCTGCATCTGCATCTGCATCTGTATCTGTATCTGTATCTGTACCTGTACCTGTACCTGTACCTGTACCTGTATCTGTATCTGTATCTGTACCTGTACCTGTACCTGTACCTGTATCTGTACTGTATCTGTAACTGTATCTGCATTTGTACTGTATCTTTAATGTATCTGTATCTGTACTGTATATGTACTGTATCTGTATCTGTACCTGTATATGCATCTGTACTGTATCTGTATCTGTACCTGTACCTGTACCTGTACCTGTACCTGTACCTGTACCTGTATCTGTACTGTATCTGTACTGTATCTGTACCTGTATCTGCATTTGTACTGTATCTGTACTGTATTTGTATCTGTATCTGTACTGTATCTTGTCTTGTGGGGCATCTACATCTGATATGTGGTCAGGTCTGTATGACATATTATGAATGAAGGGTTTATTTGGTTGAACTCAAGCCTCCAAACTTTGTACAATAACACCAGTTTTGTTATTGCCCCTCAGAGATAAATACAGGGTTATTATTGCCCCTCAGAGATAAATACAGGGTTCTTATTTTCTCTCAGAGATAAATACAGGGTTCCTATTGCCCCTCAGAGATAAATACAGGGTTCTTATTTTCTCTCAGAGATAAATACAGGGTTCCTATTGCCCCTCAGAGATAAATACAGGGTTCTTATTGCCCCTCAGAGATAAATACAGGGTTCCTATTGCCCCTCAGAGATAAATACAGGGTTCCTATTGCCCCTCAGAGATAAATACAGGGTTCTTATTTTCTCTCAGAGATAAATACAGGGTTCCTATTGCCCCTCAGAGATAAATACAGGGTTCTTATTTTCTCTCAGAGATAAATACAGGGTTCCTATTGCCCCTCAGAGATAAATACAGGGTTCTTATTGCCTCTCAGAGATAAATACAGGGTTCTTATTGCCCCTCAGAGATAAATACAGGGTTCTTTAGTTGATTGGAATTGAATTGTGTGTGAGTATAAGAGAGCTGACAAATTGCTGTGTTGTGTGTTTTGTCTCTCCAGGTGTGTGTGAGTGAAAGAGATGGTGCGGTCCGGAGCTGATAGCTGACGTAGCTGTAGTAGGATGAGATGAGAGAGGATGGAACACTCGGACAGCAGCGACCCCAACGGGTTCGTCAATAAAGTCTTCAACGTGTCTCTGGATGTGCAGAATGAGACCGGCACCGTATCTATCCAGGAGACTGGGAAGGGAGAGGGACAGGGTCCAGGCCAAGCCCAGGGACAGTGGCAGGGGGCTGGGGATATACAGGCAGAGACCCAGGCACCCCCTCAGACCCCTGGGAAGGAGGAGCACCCGGATGTCAACCGTAGACCAAGAGCTACAGGGGGCATCTGGAAGATCTTGACCCGGCGTAAAGCGGCCTCAGAGCTGGATAACAGAAGACCTCACTCCATGATCCTCCCTGGAGAGGCGGCCTCTATCCCTAAACTGTCCTTCGCTGACAAGGTCCGCTCCATCAAGAAGCTCCGCTCTCCAGGTGTCTTCAAGGGGAGGATGGGGAAGATGTCTTGGTCCAGCGCTAAGTTCAGAGACGGAGAGACGGAGGGCAACTCGTTCTGCCAGGACTTCCTTCCCTCGCACGCCCTGCACCCCGTTAGGAGCACACTCCGCCACCGCGCGAAGAGGCACTCGTATGCCGGACACACCGCCGAGTTCGACTGCTCATTTGAGGACATAGATCTGACAGCTACGCTGGACAGACACCATCTTCCCTCGCTAGTGGAGCCTGTTACCCAGAACAGCTCTGAGCCCACAGAGAGAGCCTCCTACACCAAGAGATGTCAGGTCCAGGCTCAGGCGCAGGCCAACCACTCCTCTAACTGTAACAGTACCTCAGCAGGAGTGTGTGTGGAGCAGAGTGTGAGGGGCAGCCCCAAGGCCCCGCTGGGTGGGAGGAGGTCTAAGGGAGCTGACGTGTGGAGTTACCTGAGGAGGATCTCTGTCCTGGGGAAGGGGAACCCGGCCTACTCAGAGAGGAGTTTTGACTCAGAGCTCCACACACTGGACAAGACCATGGACTCTGACTACGGCTCGGTGGACTTCGAGAGCATCAGGGACTTTCACCCAGCGGCTCCAAAACACTCTGACAGCAAAGGTGGACATTTTGGGGGTCTGATTAAGTTCTTCAGCAACGTTGCGGGGACGGCTAGAAAATGGCGGATGTCTTCTCACTCCTTCTCTCCTCCAGAGGGGAGAGGGGAGCGGTCGCCACTGGGCCACCCCAGAGCAGGGCAGCGTCTGGGGGACTACGTCCACAGTGTTTCCCAGACCCTCCGCAGTGAGGACCACCCAGAGTGTCCCCTGACACCCGGCTCACCCCTGACCCCTCACCCCCCTCGCTCCCCTGCCTGTGACCCTGCCTCACCCCCTCCTCTGATAGGCAGACGGTCTCCTCAGGTGGTGCTGAAGGCCTGGAGGGTGTGTCCGGACTCACCGAGCGTTAACGGCCTGGTGTGTGTGAGCTCATTGGAGATGGCCAGACAGACAGTCAGACAGACAGAGAGACAGACACGGCACACGTCTGTAGCTACAGTAGAGAAACACGTGCCACACTCAAGGCTGGAGAGAGAGACTCAGAAAGAGACAGAAGTACACAGAGACCCCTTAGAATGTCTGTCTACAGTGGAAGAGAGAGAAAGAGAGGGAGGAGAGAGAGGAGAGGGAGGAGAGAGAGGAGAGGGACACTCAGGAAATTATCTGGATTCCAAGGATGCTCTACCTGTCTCAGATCAGACACACCTTCCAAACGGCCAATCAGAGTTACGGGAAGGAGAGACCGTAGCCACTAGGGAGCCAGCAGGAAACTGCCACCAGGAAGTATTTAAGGTGAGTATGTTGATGATAAACATGAAAACTGTTTTATGTTCAACACCCCTTATCGAAAAAAACAGGCTTCTGGCAAACAGTTGTAGCAAACCTTTGGCCAATTTGCTGCAAATTTGCGGCAAGTTCATATTTTCACATGCAAATTAGTTTTGTGGCAAACTGTTGCGGCAAATTTGAGGCGACTTGTAAACTTCTGGCAAACAATTCTGGGAAACTTAATTAACATTCTACTGTTTGCTGCAAAAATAAATCCAATACAAGTTGAAATCATCAGCATGCTAATGAAGAAAAGAGCAAAGACTGGATATTTCCCAAATATATTGATTATTTAATATTTGTATCTAGCTACATTCACATGAGAAAAATGTGAACACTATGGGGATGTTGACCTTATGATGTTTAAATGGGCAACTGCAGAATTTACATGAGGTAAGTGTTAATTGAGCAATAGCTTTCAACCAATGTAAGTTTAAAAGATCATTAACAAAATGTAAATAATTTAAACAACAAAAACTAAATAAATCCCAGTTCAGAACTATTGCCTTTTTGAGTGAACTTTGGAGATGGCGGCCCCGTGGAAGTCCTTCGTCCAAAGCTTGTTGAATACATGAACTGAATCAATCAGAAAACACAAAACAAAAACAAAATTAGGATACAGAAAACAATGACTGATTGAAGGCCTCAGTCTGTCCTCAGTTTGATTGAAGGCCTCAGTCTGTCCTCAGTTTGATTGAAGGCCTCAGTCTGTCCTCAGTTTGATTGAAGGCCTCAGTCTGTCCTCAGTTTGATTGAAGGCCTCAGTCTGTCCTCAGTTTGATTGAAGGCCTCAATCTGTCCTCAGTTTGATTGAAGGCTTCAGTCTGTCCTCAGTTAAGATTGAAGGCCTTGTAACTGATTGCTTCTAGAAAGAGAGAAGGAACAACACATGATCAAGATGAGCTACTAGTTTAAAGCAATTAAATATCTAATTGTAAAAAAAAAAAATGAATGTATGGGCTACATTTATGAGAATAATAAATGCATTTGCTTACTTTATCAAGCTTGAAGATGATACACTCAAAAAAAAGTGTTATGAGGGAGTGCACCACAAACATCTTTCCAGGGTGTTGATGCATCCTTCTACCAATACAGCCTCTTCCAACACCACAGATAGCGGAAGGGTATACATCTGCAAAAGTGAAGTCTTGCTTGGATGTCAAGTCAGCTCATATTGTTGCTACCTTAGCTGTTGTGCTAGCTAACATACTATTGAACAGTGATACTAGCATATTGAAATGCATATTGGTATTAAAAGACAGCAACGTATTCACAAAAAAATATAATTGTTTAGGCAAATCATTAGTTAGCTAGCTAGCGATCATATGAATTGTGCAAAAATATGATAGCTAATGTTAGCTAGCTAGCTAAGCGCTAGCCAACTAGCTAAGCGCTAGCCAAACGCTAGCCAGTCAGTGGCGCTGACAGATTGAAACTGGTATCAACAAAATGTGTTTCACTCTATCCCATAAAACATGACATTGCTAACTAGCCATCAATGAACTAACACAATTTTTAAGTTTATTAGGAGGTTTAATTAATAAGTTCACTCACTGGACATCTTTGGTAGATAGCTAGCTTGGTTTCCATTTTCCAGCACATTTTTCTAATCCCCTTAATTGCTCGTCAATGGTTACTGGCTTTGAAGTCATGTGTTCACCAGAAATGGCTTCCGGTAAACTGTTTGCCACTGCTGGCAATAAATATTGTATTATATTATATTATTTACCGCAGATTCACCACTAGTGGCAAACAATTGCAAACTTCTGGCAACATTTTGTGACACAATTTTGCCACAATTTGCCACAAACATTTTTGTAAGGGACTGCAAATAGTCAATTCAGGAATGAATTCAAATAGTTATTTGTAATCTGCCTGGTAATGATCAAATGTGTTATTGTAAGTCATCACCTCATTTTATTCAGTGCTATCAAATCATTCATTCATTCTACGTCATTATCAGATCCTGTCATGTAACTATTACATAACTATAACATTACAACATTGTCTCATTGTTAACCTTTTTAACCTTGTTAAACATCATCATTCTTTTGCTTTTTAAAAACAATAGAAATCATCTAAATGCTTGATGCAAGTCTCGTAACAGTTACTTTACAACGTTGAATAAGTAGGCTATAGGTCTGTTAGAGGTTGTGGGTAATATTCAGAGAGCAGCGGGTATGTTGTGGGTATTCTTTTGCCCCATCTGTTGGCCAGAGGAGGAAGTAGAGTCAGCGCTCTCTGTGTGGAGTGTTAGTTAGACCACAGTAGTCTGTCTTTCCTACCCCTTCCTGTCTCCTCCACACATAAACACACCAGCAAATCTTGTCCTAAAAAAACATGGGAATCTAGTTCTAAAAGTGGTTCCCAACCCAGTCCTCAGGGATCCCTTAGACATTCCACGTGTGTTCTATTCCAGCCCCAGCTAGTCAACTAATTTCCAAGCCCTCAATTAGTAACATCAGGCATGGTAGAGCAAATATGTGCTACAGAAAACAGTGTGTGTGTGTGACTGCCCCCACCCTAACTGCAGCTCTCCTCACAGATTAGTCATCTCATCTCCCCTCCGGTCTCTCTCTCACAGCAAGTCAGGACACGTCAGTCCCTCCTATACTGCATTACAGTGAGTTAGAGTAATACTGGGCTTGGTCTAACAGAGGATTTTCCTGTGAGGAAACTAAAATGGAAATCAGGGTTGTGAATGGAGTTAGATGGAATTGTTTCTTACATAGAACCAGATTGATTGATTGATCGATTGATGGATTTATTGATTAATTAATTGATTGTTTATTGATTGATTGGTTGATTGATTAGGGAGCTCTATCAGGCAGTGTTTTGAGGAGACCCAGGTCAGTCCAGTCCTGTTCTAGTCCAGTGAAGACCCCTGCCCCTCCCAAGCCCCCATACCCTCGCCCCCGTCCTGCCTCAGCCCTGGTCGACCTCCAAGTCTGCAGTCCCTTCCCAGAGGGCTGTATGTTTGCCGTTACTCAGCAGGCCGAGGGGGGCTCTCTGTGCCGGCACAGACGCAGGCCCGGTCCCATGATGCACCTCTCGCCGGGTCGAAGACGGGCGGGCGGTCTGGCCAGGCCATGCTCTGTCATAGAGCCCTCAGTTACCGTGAGTCACAGAGTAAGACCTCACACACACACACACAAACATACACACACACACACACACACATGGATCCCTAGTCCCAACATGTACTGAATAAGACCTCGTACACACACACACACACACACACACACACACACACACACACACACACACACACACACACACACACACACACACACACACACACACACTATCCCACTGCTGAGAGAATGAAAGTGGGAATCTGACCAGTCTCTGCCAACTCTCATTTAAATATTGGCTGTAGTCCTCCTGGCTGGTAGGGCCAGTAATGAATCAACCACACCACGCGCTGCACGCTTTGATGGGAGGTGATTACAAACCTTGTATTTATACCCTCCTACTCTACAAAAATGCTGCACGCTCTGTCCCATTTCTAGAAGGCTGTATTCATACATCCTCCTTTCCTTCAGCTGCTCTTCCTCTGCTTTCTCTGCTTTTTAATATTCTTGATGGTTCTCTCTCTCTCTCTCTCTCTCTCTGTCCGTGGCCAATGTTCTGCCTCACCGCTCCCATACGTTCTGTCCATTCTTTATTCCCTCATTATAATAACTCACACTCTGAACTTTTCACCTGGAGACACATTCACCTGACTGGTTGGAATGATTCATATTGTATCACCTGACTGGTTGGAATGATTCATATTGTATCACCTGACTGGTTGGAATGATTCATATTGTATCACCTGACTGGTTGGAATGATTCATATTGTATCACCTGACTGGTTGGAATGATTCATATTGTATCACCTGACTGGTTGGAATGATTCATATTGTATCACCTGACTGGTAGGAATGATTCATATTGTATCACCTGACTGGTTGGAATGATTCATGTTGTATCACCTGACTGGTAGGAATGATTCATATTGTATCACAAGGTTGTATCACAAGGCATGCACTCAGAACCTGTGCACCAGAATATACTGTGGGTTTTAAATGTACTTCACTCTGAGAAGGAAAGAAGATGTATTGTTTGGGGGATCTGTATGTACTGTATGTGAGAGACGTTTGGTGTGTGTGCATGCTTGCGTAACGGTCCAGTGTGTTCCAGGCCCTGTCTCGTCCCCCGGGGGTGTCACCTTTAGAGCCCCCCCTCAGAGTGTCTCTTCAGAGGTGTCACTCCCTCCCTCTCCCCCCCAGCACCATCACTACTCTGACCCTGTTCCCGGGACACACAGGTACTAGATGAGTGTGTGTTGTATTTGTATTTTCTTGTCCTACAGGCTGTGTGTACACATGCCTGCCTGCCTGTGTCAGTGTGTGCATGTTGGTGTACGCATGCTTGTGTGTGGTGGTTGAACTGTCTGTGTGTCTGTCCCCTTCAGCAGACACCCTGTCATCCTCAGTGTGTCTTGGTGATGGAGAGACTGGCAGCTGCAGGAGGAGACTGCTCAGAACAGGCTCTGGTTCTGGTCCACTACAAGTCAACATCGTGAGTCACTGCCCACCACGTCCTATAATATCACTATATTAGCCTGTTAGCATGTTCAGTCACAAGTGACTGGCTGCGTCTCAAATGGCGCCCTATTCCCTAGAGACGGGTTAGCTGACAACGTCATGAAAACAATGTCCGCGCTTCAATGGGGCAGAAGGCTGTGTGTTGTTGTGATTCTGGATGGCCAGATAGCTAGCAACAGTGACAGGAAGCTGCTATGTGGCGGCAGGTAGCCTAGCTGTTAAGAGCGTTAGGTCATTAACTGAAAGATCGCTGGTTGGAATCTCCGAGCTGTCTTGTTTTGAGGGGTTTTGACTGAGGTCTATGCTAATATGGTTAAAATTTGCTAGCTAGCTAGCCAACAACTGTAACGATGTATTTGAGAGACAAATGCGCATTGTGCAACTTTATTTATGTTTTCAATAAACATTGGAGACTAAATATAGTTCACATGTTATCAACAATCTAAGCCAACCCCATCTGTTTTGCCCCAGTCTAACTTCCGGGTTCTGGTTTGATGGAGACACTCAGGGAATATCTCTCTGCAATGCAGTTCAACAGTCTTCCTTCAGGGTTCAGTTCAACAGTCTTCCTTCAGGGTTCAGTTCAACAGCCTTCCTTCAGGGTTCAGTTCAACAGTCTTCCTTCAGGGTTCAGTTCAACAGCCTTCCTTCAGGGTTCAGTTCAACAATCTTCCTTCAGGGTTCAGTTCAACAGTCTTCCTTCAGGGTTCAGTTCAACAGTCTTCCTTCAGGGTTCAGTTCAACAGTCTTCCTTCAGGGTTCAGTTCAACAGCCTTCCTTCAGGGTTCAGTTCAACAGCCTTCCTTCAGGGTTCAGTTCAACAGCCTTCCATCAGGGTTCAGTTCAACAGCCTTCCTTCAGGCTTCAGTTCAACAGTCTTCCTTCAGGGTTCAGTTCAACAGTTTTCCTTCAGGGTTCAGTTCAACAGTTTTCCTTCAGGGTTCAGTTCAACAGCCTTCCATCAGGGTTCAGTTCAACAGCCTTCTTTCAGGCTTCAGTTCAACAGTCTTCCTTCAGGTTTCAGTTCAACAGTCTTCCTTCCGGGTTCAGTTCAACAGTCTTCATTCAGGGTTCAGTTCAACAGTCTTCCTTCAGGGTTCAGTTCAACAGTCTTCCTTCATTGTTCAGTTCAACAGTTTTCCTTCAGGGTTCAGTTCAACAGTCTTCCTTCAGGGTTCAGTTCAACAGTCTTCCTTCAGGGTTCAGTTCAACAGTCTTCCTTCAGGGTTCAGTTCAACAGTTTTCCTTCAGGGTTCAGTTCAACAGTCTTCCTTCAGGGTTCAGTTCAACAGTCTTCCTCCAGGGTTCAGTTCAACAGTTTTCCTTCAGGGTTCAGTTCAACAGTCTTCATTCAGGGTTCAGTTTAACAGTCTTCCTTCAGGGTTCAGTTCAACAGTCTTCCTTCAGGGTTCAGTTCAACAGTTTTCCTTCAGGGTTCAGTTCAACAGCCTTCCTTCAGGGTTCTGGTTTGAGAAACATATTTGAAAGAAAACAAGTGGCCTATGTTTTTCATCCTGTATTTCATCCAGCAGGTCAGCTGCCGTAGGACCCAGATCTCTTAATCTCTACCTCTCATCTCATCTCACTCTATTCTCTCTCTCTCTCATCTCGCTCTGTTCTCATCTCTCTCTGTTCTCTCTGTCATCGCTCTCTGTTCTCTCTCTCTCTGTTCTCTCTCTCAAATCTCTTTCTGTTCTCATCTCTCTCAGTTCTCTGTTCTCTCAAAGCTCTCTCTGTTCTCTCTCATCTCTCTCACCTCTCTCTGTTCTCTCTCTCTCTGTTCTCTCTCGCTCATCTCTCTCTGTTCTCTCTCTCTCAAATCTCTCTGTTCTCATCTCTCTCTGTTCTCTCTCGCTCATCTCTCTCTGTTCTCTCTGTTCTCTCAAATCTCTCTCTGTTCTCATCTCTCTCAGTCATCTCTCGCTATCTGTTCTCTCTGTCATCTATCTCTGTTCTCTGTCATCTCTCTCCATTCTCTCTCATCTTTGGGACCTAAACCCAGTATCTCAGAGAAAGGCCCTTTGATGAAAACGGGGCCCCAAGGGACCTTATAACTCTCAGAGTGTAACTGTTAATAAGCTGGAGGTGTACACACACACACACACACACACACACACACACACACACACACACACACACACACGCACATAAATAAATGCATGCAGGTAGTTACACACACACACTCTCTTCTCTCTCACTCACACACACACAGCTGGAGGTCGAACTCTCTGTATTTTGCCACCACAACCATTCTGGAGTGGAACAGCTCCATGCTGTTGCAATGACACTGTGTGTTTCCTCTTTATCTTCAGGATTCTATCTTTAGAAAGCCTTTTTAAGTGTGAGTTAAAAAGACAGTGTGTGGGTGAGAGAGAGATGGGGGATATACAGAGAAGAAGAGAGGGTGGGGAGATGGAGAGGGGGGTGAGAGAGAGAAAGAGAGAGAGAGAGAGGGTTGAGAGAGAAAGAGATAGGGATAGACAGATGTTTTCATTATGTGTCTTTCGTGTTTTGGCTCTAATCCCTCAGGGCTACTTTTCAATGGTGATATAAACCATTGAGTGTTTCAAAAAGAGTGACAGATGTGTTTGTTAATGGCCAGAGAGATAAAGGAGAGTGACAGATGTGTTTGTTAAAGGACAGAGACATAAAAGGAGAGTGACATATGTGTTTGTTAAAGGACAGAGAGGTAAAGGAGAGTGACAGATGTGTTTGTTAAAGGACAGAGAGGTAAAGGAGAGTGACAGATGTGTTTGTTAAAGGACAGAGAGGTAAAGGAGAGTGACAGATGTGTTTGTTAATGGCCAGAGAGATAAAGGAGGGTGAGAGATGTGTTTGTTAATGGCCAGAGAGGTAAAGGAGAGTGACAGATGTGTTTGTTAATGGCCAGAGAGATAAAGGAGGGTGAGAGATGTGTTTGTTAAAGGCCAGAGACATAAAGCCATGTGTGGTACAACAGTACTGCTGCTCTGTTCTCATGAATTAGTGGGTTGGAGTTATCATGCTGTGAAACACAGGGGTGTGTGTCTAGCTCCCCCATCTCCAGTCAGACTAGTGAAGCCCACAGGCCGCAGGGAGACAGAGAGAGCTTCCTCACTAACAGTGGTCAGCAGCATCAGTAGAGGGTAACAGTGGCCAGCAGCATCAGTACAGGGTAACAGTGGTCAGCAGCATCAGTAGAGGGTAACAGTGGTCAGCAGCATCAGTACAGGGTAACAGTGGTCAGCAGCATCAGTAGAGGGTAACAGTGGTCAGCAGCATCAGTACAGGGTAATAGTGGTCAGCAGCATCAGTAGAGGGTAACAGTGGTCAGCAGCATCAGTACAGGGTAACAGTGGTCAGCAGCATCAGTAGAGGGTACAGTGGGGGAAAAAAGTATTTAGTCAGCCACCAATTGTGCAAGTTCTCCCACTTAAAAAGATGAGAGAGGCCTGTAATTTTCATCATAGGTACACGTCAACTATGACAGACAAAATGAGAAAAAAAAATCCAGAAAATCACATTGTAGGATTTTTAATGCATTTATTTACAAATGATGGTGCCATTAATACAGGTAACGAGTGGAGGACAGAGGAGCCTCTTAAAGAAGAAGTTACAGGTCTGTGAGAGCCAGAAATCTTGCTTGTTTGTAGGTGACCAAATACTTATTTTCCACCATAATTTGCAAATTAATTAATTAGAAATCATACAATGTGATTTTCTGGATTTTTTTCTCTCAATTTGTCTGTCATAGTTGACGTGTACCGATGATGAAAATTACAGGCCTCTCTCATCTTTTTAAGTGGGAGAACTTGCACAATTGGTGGCTGACTAAATACTTTTTTTCCCCACTGTAACAGTGGCCAAGTCACTTCAGGACAACCTGAGCAGGTCTAATCACATGACGCAACTGGACGAGACACTTGAAACCCAACCTCTTTAAGGAATACCTGGGATAGTATAAAAGTAATCATTCTACCCCCCCCCCCCCACCCCACCCCCACAAAAAAATGTATATATATATACAGTATATATAAAAATTAAATTTAAAAAATACAATGGAAAAAAATAACAAGTATACTAATGAAATAAAAAAAGAATTTTTGAAAAAGAATTTTAAACAAAATACAATAAAAAAATATATATATAAAAAAAATTATAAAACCAATGAAAATTAAGAATATACTATAAAAATACAAAATAAATAAAAAATTTACACAAATATATAAAACATAAAATAAACAAAAATATTTGTAAAGTGGTTGGTGAAGGTGCATGCACCAATTTATAAGTCGCTCTGGATAAGAGCGTCTGCTAAATGACGTAAATGTAATGTAAAATGATGAACTACATGAGTCAGCAGTTAGCATACAGAGAGCATAGCAGGACTCACAGAGGAGGGACAACACACACACACCTTACTCTGCTCAGGCGCGTTCATTTAATCACGCAGTGCACAGCTGTGCAGGCGATGTGCATCTCCGTGACCTCAAACATCACATTCACCTCACACATGCACAACTCACCTCACACACACTCTTCAAACCTCACACACGGTATTCAAATCTCACACACACTCTTCAAACCTCACACACGGTCTTCAAACCTCACACACGGTCTTCAAGCCTCACACACAGTCTTCCATCCTCACACACAGTCTTCAGATGTATTTTGATTCCTCAGTGTAGGTGTATGAGTCAGACTCAGAGATTGGGTTTCCAGAAGGGTAAGAAATAAGCATCACTGATGATATTCACCAAAGGCTTTAAGTCAGAATGCTGACAGAGTGATGAGGTTGTAGCATCCGCTCTTTCTCTGAATATCTTATAGCTTAATGCAGCATTTTTACACAAGACAGACTCTCAGTAAGAAAATAGCCAGTGAGTTAGTACTCCTTCTCCATTAGAGTTCCCCTCTGCTCAGCTATGGGGGAGTACATTTCCACCTTGACTTGATGCTGCAGCCTACTAATGTGGTGGTGTTGTCTAGCAAGTG